TTTTTTGCTTATGTGGTGCTGAGGAATTGAACCCAGGGCCTCATGCATGCAAGGCAAGTGCTCTACCACTGAGCCACCTTCCCAGCCCCTGTACAGTATTTTCACAATAAAAAAAAAAATCACAGACTTTCTTGCGTAGGCTGGCTTTGAACTGTGATCCTCAGATTTTAGCCTCCTGAGTAGCTAGGATTATAGGAGTATAGCATCCCTCTGACAGCTTCTTTTTTGTTCAAGGCTGGTGCTCTACTACTTGAGCCACACCTCCACTTCGTTTTTTGCTGGATAATTTGAAAGAGTCTCTTGGACTTCAGGAAGGATTTGAATCAGGATCTGCAGATATCAGCCCTCTGAGTAGCTAGGATTATAGGCATGAAGATTTCTGCTTTAAATCTAGAAAATAAGGCCAATAGTCAACTTCTAGTGATTATATGAGTAATGTAGAAGTTCATAAATTATGTGTAGGCAATATGGCAAAATAGTAGCTGATAACAGTGAAGTTCAATACATGTTAGCTTCTATAACTTTTACACACTTTATTTTCAGTGCTGGGCATCAAACCTAGGGCTTCATACATGTGAAGAAAGTGCTCTACAATTGAGCTACATCCCCAGGTCTCATTGAATGATTTTTATTTTTTGTTTTTTATTATTATAGAGGTGATGTACAGAGGGATTACAATTACATTAGTTAAGTAATGAGTACATTTCCATTCATAAACTGTCTTCTGTTCCCTCATTCTCTCCCAGTACCTCCCATTTCCACTCTTTTGTGTTTGTTTATTTTTAAGATAAGGACTTGGCCAGGTGTGGTGGCTCACACCTATAATCCTAGTTACTCAGTAGGCTGACATCTGAGGATCTCAGTTCAAAGCCAGCCCGGGGAAGGAAAGGCCTTGAGACTCTTCCATTAACCACCAGAAAACCAGATGTGGCATTGTGGCTCAAGTGGTAGGGTGCTAACCTTGAGCTGAAGAGTTGAGGAACAGTGCCCAAGCCCAGAGTTCAAGCCCCACGACCGACAAAAAAAAGGAAAACATATAAGAACTTGCCATATATAGTCCAAGCTGACTTTGAATTAGTGATCCTCTCGCCTAGCTTCCTAAGTGCTGGGATTACAGGTATGGATGTTACCATTACCTGCTATTGAATATTTTTTTTTTTTTGGTTGGTTGTGGGGCTTGAACTCTGGGCCTGGACACTGTCACTCAGCTCTTCGGCTCAAGGCTAGCGCTCTACCACTTGAGCCTCAGCGCCTCATGCATGCAAGGCAAGCGCTCTACCACTGAGCCACCTTCACAGTCCCTTGAATATATTAAAATCAAAATGCTAATAATATTTGGCATTCTGAATTCAAAGAATGTTGAACAGTTTATCTGTTTTTATTTTTTTCTTTTCTTTCTTTCTTTTTTTGGTCCTGGGGCTTGAACTCAGGGCCTGGGCCCTGTCCCTGAACCTCTTTGTGCTCAAGGCTAGCGCTCTATCACTTGAGCCACAGTACCACCGCTGGCTTTTTCTGTATAGTTTATTGGAGATAAGAATTAGGGTTGGGGGGGCTGGGAAGGTGGCTCAGTGGTAGAGCACTTGCCTTGCATGCCTGAGGCCCTGGGTTGGATTCCTCAGCACCACATAAGCAAAAAAAAAAAAAAAAAGCCAGAAGTGGTGCTGTGGCTCAAGTGGTAGAGCACTAGACTTGAGCTGAAGAGCTGAGGGACAGCACCCAGGCCCCAGAGTTCAGGCCCCATGACCGGACCCCCCAAAAAAAAGCTTGAAAAAAGAATTGGGGTGGGATGAGGCTTTTCTGTTCTAGCTGGCTTCAAACTAGGAACTAGGATCCTCAGATCTCAGCCTCTTGAATAGCTAGTATTACTGTGTGGGCTACTGGCACATGACTCTTTTGTTTTCTTTCTTTCTTTCCTTTCTTTTTGTTGTTTGTGGGGCTTGAACTCTGGGCCTGGGTGCTGTCCCTCAGCTCTTTAGCTCAAGGCAAGCACTCTACCACTTGAGCCACAGTGCCATTTCCAGTTTTCTGGTGATTTATTGGAGATAAGAGTTTCATGGACTTTCCTGCCTGGGATGGCTTTGAACCGTGATCCTCAGATCTCAGCCTCCTGAGTAGCTAGGATTATAGGTGTGAGCCACCAGTGCCCAGCCTCTTGTTTTTTTTTCTTGTTTTTGTTTTTGTTTTTGAGTGCTCTGCCACTAGGCTACACCTCCAGACTCTAATTGCATTTATTTTGGAAAGCTACCAAAGCATTACAAAGAACATTTTAAACTTTTTACTTGGGTTACAGAATAGGGACCACAGGAACAGAACACTAGCATGTGACAGGATAAAAAGAAACTATCATGGGACAGAATAGAGCAAAAGCTATTTTTGGTGAAAGGGCGCAGACCAGCACACTGACAGCTTGGATTGATTCGTTTGCTCTTATGTCTAAGGATATCGCCTGTGTCCCTGGTAACAAACAAACAAACAAAAAAAGTAGCCTAATTTTCATTCTTTCACACTCCTTGGATAGGCAATGAAGATAATAACAATCCTGAAAAGATTTGTCTGGATTTGCAGTAAAACTTCATTAGAAGATGTACAGTTTTTTAACCTAAATATTGAATATTGCAAAAGCATTTGATTACAGATGACCTTTTAAAACCTACAGATAGCTTTATTTCTTTATTGAGATTAAGTGATTGCATACATTTCACAGTACTGCATAGTTATACTTAGCTAAAGTTACAAACAAATTTTAACTTTCACAATGATAATCATCATTATGTTAATCTACAAAGCTTGTGAACTCTACGAACTTTTACAATAAAACGATTTCTTCCACATTGGGTGATATGTACATTTCTTTCCTTTTGCTCAGTGTCAGCTGTTCTCTTCTAATTCCCTCCCTTCCATCACCACCCTTGAGTTGCTTAGTTCACTTTCATCAATGTCCAGTTCAGCTGTTGTGCCCCTCGGCCGTTATTTTTTCAGCCGTTTTCCCTACAGCTGGATTTTTTTTTCTTTTGCCAGGCCTGGGGCTTAAACTCAGGGCCTGGGCACTGTTCCTGAGCTTCTTTTGCTCAAGGCTAGCACGCTACCACTTGAGCCACAGTGCCACTTCCGGCTTTTTCTGTGTATGTGGTATTGGGGAATCAAACCCAGGGCTTCATGCATGCTAGGCAAGCACTCCACCACAAAGCCACATTTCCAGTCCCAGATGACCTTTTAAAACTGACTTCTAAAACCAACTTTTAAAACCAATGGGTTCCAGTGACTCATGTCTGTAATCCTTGGTACTCAAGAGGCTCAGATCCAAAGATGACGGTTTGAGACCTGTAGAGACAACAGTCCTTGAGACTTCACTTCCAAAATAACCTAAGAAAAGCAGTGCTGGAGGTGTAGCAAGCTCAACTCTGAGTCAAA